CGGCTTCCTCAAGGCCGGCCAGCTGACTATGAGATTCGGCCCGCAGAGCCGCGAGCTCCCTATCCTTGGCCGCAGACTCTGCCTCGGCGCGACGGGCGGCTTCCCGGGCTTGGGACAAGGCGGCATCAGCTTTTACCTTGGCCTCTTTCAGACCAGCCTCCCTAGCGGCCTCAGCCTGCAGCACCAGAAGTCCAGACTGAACAAAGAAAGGAGTCAGAACACATAATCAAAAGATGAACACAGAATGGGAGATGTACCCAGATCTAGTATAGAGGAAATACCTGAAGAGCAGCTGCCAGAGCAGTGCTGGTCGCCTCAGAAGACGAATGGGGGGGGCAGCTCAAGACCGGCTTTGAGGGCCATCTCCCTCCAAAGTTCCTCCGCCGGGCGGCTCAAGGGCAGGGAGCCGGCGTCTTCAAGCAGAGGGCCAGTGGCGGCTGCCTCACGGCCCCTCTTTTGTTTTTTTCTCTGGGGCCTTCTCTACCCCCTTCTGAAAAGCCGCCTTCGTGGAGACGACCGGCGGTGGAAGGGCAGCCTTGAGAGCGGGGGCCCCGGACCCTTGGGCCAGCATGGTGGCAATCAAGTGCTGCTCACCCTCAGTCGTTCGCCGGGCAGCATCGGAGGCCGAAGAGTTGGAGTCCGAGGCAGGAGCGTTCTTGGCTTTCGCCAACGCGGCCTTAGCAGCAGCCGCCTTGGCCTTCCTGGTCTTCAAGCATTCGGCATGATTCATCTGGGCTTCGTCTGGTGGAGAACCTGCATGAAACAATTAAGGGTTAAGAGACGAGCGGAGAATATGACAAGACACTCACCTCGAAGGACAGGACCGCCCGATGCCCCGAGACGAGCGTCGAAGGGTGGAAAAAAGTCCAAGGACACGGGCGGTACCTATGCCTGCCCCGGAGAGTGCCTCGAAGGTCAGGTAGCCGGCAATAGGGCAGATGCCGCCCTGCAACAACTTCTCCACGTCCCCGCTCAGGTCGTCGGTCAGCTCCAGTGGCTCAATCTTGGGGGGATAGCCGTTCCACCGAACCGGGAGAGGAGGGCCGTCGTATCGAAGGAAGAAGAAGCGATTCTTCCAATCGTGGATAGACGAAGGATAGCTCTTGAACAGCCTCCTTCCTGGACGTGCGGCCACGCTCAGGTAACCATCGGAGTTCTGGGGAGTGATGCGGTAGAAGTAGTGGAACAGGTCCAAAGTGGAAGTGGCTCCCGCAAGTTTGCAGCGCACCAGGAAGGCTGATATAAACCTATAGGAGTTTGGCATGAACTGCGCCGGGGCCACCTGGAAGCAGTGGAAGAACTCCACATAGAATGAATGGAGTGGAAACCGCAACCCGGCTTCAACGGAGTCCAAGTGGAGCATGATCATCCCCGGACGTCTCCTCATCACATGCTCGGCGCCTCTCATGCTCCAGACGAACGGCGGGGGGGGAAGAAAGTGCGGATTTTGTTGAGAGCCACACGGGAGAGGACTTGGTCATGATCAAGGGCGCTCCTGATTGGGCAGATGTGGCGCTCCATATCCATAGGGATGCCCAGATCATGCACATCCATGTCAGAGCCGGATTCGGCCTCTTCCCCAGAATCATAGTCAGCAGGGCGCTCATTCAGGGGAACTGCGTCAATAATGTCTACTGCCCCGTCAACATTCCCATCCCCGGCGTTGCTCCCGCTACCTTGGGAAGCGTCATCGGGCTCACCATCGGCCCGGATGGTCCCCACAGTCGTGGCCGAACCAGAAGTCCCAGAAACACTGGCCTTCCCGGAGGAGCGCGCACCAGAGTCGGAAGAGGAGCCCGAAGAGGAACCCGACGAACCGGAACCAGAACTTAACGAAATCTCCATCGAGGCCATCTTGGAGAGAATTCAAGACAGATAAAAGAAGCAGAGGAGGAAAATTACCTTACAAGGAGATTAGCCGAACTCGGAAGCGGGAAAAGACTTGAGGAGCAGCGGAAATTCTAGAGCAAGGGAGCAGAAATTGGGAACCCTAGTCCAGAGGGAAAACCCGGCATTTATAGAAGAAGCACCGATGAGGGAACCAACGAGGGGCTGACACGTAGCAAGGAGCGTGTTCCGGCTCACGCGTCGTGCGTGGGGTGGAAGCGTAATGATGACATTTCCTCGGAAAATGCACCGTCGCAAAAAGCAGTCGTCACCTCGGTTCCTGAGCCATCGACAGCTGTTAAGCATCATGACCACGAACGTACGCCTTCACCGGGTGCAACAAACACAAGTACCAGAACACGAACGTCTTACCTCGAGGGACATCATACTTCCTTATGTCCTGTGCATGCTCAGAACATCAGAAGTGGGGGACTTGTGTTGGGTTAATGGCCCAAGTTGAGGTTCGGCCCATTTACCGTTACTTCCGGACGTACGTCCAGCTAGATCACTAAGCTAGCCTGGCAAGCCCATGTTCCTCCAGGAGGGACGAACGTCTGTAGTTGGGGTTTAGGCTCAACGGCCCATCTCGACGAACGTCCGTGCTGGGACAAGGAGCAGGACCACGGGTCACCAGAATGACGACGAACGTCGTCAGAGCAAGCCCATAGCCATCGGAGGCAGTCCAGTCCACATGGCGAGAATCCACAAAGGCCAGGGGACGAGCGGCCAATACCCCTTGGAGGCCACCTGGAGCAATCCAGCTCGCTCCCCGGGCGGACGAACGTCCCCACTAATTAGGCGGAAAACCTAGATTCTGGCGGGAAATGCATTTAATGCTGAAGATTTGGTGGTTGGGACACCAGCGAACCGCAGGCTTCCACGTCAGTATAGCCACCTGCCCATTGGTGGATATAAATAGAAGCATTTATTTCATTGTAAAGGGTTGGCAACTTTCTATTCTTAGCACTCTAGCTATAGCATTCTTACTCGCAGCACTTCTACTGCCTTGTAAGACGATCGGCCGACGAGCCTTAGAGAGAAGTATTGTATTAGGGAGTTATTAAGAGATAATAATACCTAATCACTTACTCGCTGCTTACTGTTCTCCTTGATCCATATTACTTGCTAGTTGGGCTAGATATTCATACACACTCCACTCGAAATCCTTGGGCTTACGTGTTGGACCCGAGGGTTGAAGGAATAAACCTCAACAACTACCATTCTTTTGTAGTACTATACTAGTAATTTATTATAATAATATACGTGTGGGTGCGAGTGTATACACATAAAAGCCTAGGATAAACATTTTTTTTATGTTTTAAAAGTTCACTTTTAATTTGTTATATAATAAAATCATCCTTAATACAAAAACATCATTTTTCGATTTTAGTCAAATTTTTATATCATCAACCAAATCATCATAAAAACGTTAATTTGGCACATTTTATTTGGTTAACAAAATTATCTATTAAATTTTAAATTGAAATTTCATTTAAATTTTCAGGGTATTACAATAATGGGAGAAGTTTGACAGGCTGTTTGCGAAGTTGCAAAATCAGTCGTCGAGGTCGACATAGTTGGAACAAGCAAGCTCTGATACCATAATAGAATTTGAGATAGAGAGAATGAGGAAAAAGAAGAATTCTCATTACTAAAACGGGAGTAGCGATGTCAAAAAAACCCGACCCGCAGTGACCCGCCCTGGCCCGAGACATTTGGGGCGGGTCCGCCCCGCCCCGTCTTCCAAATGGGGCGGGTCCGCCCCGCCCCGCCTATACAATGGGGCGGGTCCGGGTATTAGTATTGACCCGTGCCGCCCCGACCCGCCCCGACCCGCCCTGACCCGACCCGCTCAATACATAAGCATACATACTTTTTCTTAAATTATACTACAAATATACTTCAACATACATATGCGTGTATACAGTAAATCATAAATTCCTTGATCTTATAATATATTAATACATATATTAGAATGAGATGAACGGCGGATTATCAATGTCTTCTTTATATATAGCATTTTAATACATATGTTCAATTATTAGTATAATTAAATAGATTAACTTTTCAAGTCTGAGTAATTTTTCCTTGATTTTTGAAATTTTTAGGCCGGGTATCATGAATTTGATTTAATATATTAATTTTTAATTATTATTTAGAAATAAAATTTATGTAGATTCAATTGGTGACAACTTCCCACAAATAAAAATACATACTAGCTAATTAGGTTACAGGGGCGGGGCGGACCCGCCCCGCATGTGGCGGGTCATGGGTCAACAAGTTTGGACCCGTGCAGGTAAATCTTTGTCCCATGATGACTCTAACTCCGCTTTATAAAGAGGGTCAAGCCCGTTGAGCTAGAAAGCGGCGCTTTCGTGTAACATGCAATGGTCTCAACGCCCTCATTCTTTAGTCTCCCTACAAAATAGTAAAACTCCGATTCCTAGAAAACATCCTATAGAGCAAAGCAAGGATCCCCTTCAGTAAGTAGGCCGCAAGCCGCGCTCGATGTGCAAGGTCTAGCTTATCAATGAATTCCCGAGCAATTCTCAACCAACATATTCCTATGATTGTTCAGTGGCTTTTTTTTAGGACCTGTTGGGGTTTCCGACCCTCCTGGTCTCCCAAGTCACGGGGCGGGTCTGGGTCTTGCAGTACCCGCCCCGCTCCGATCCATTGCCATGCATAAACAGGAGAGTACGGAGAGTATTTATAGGAAGCTATAGCTCAACTGAAAACTAACAAACTAATTGAAATACAACTGACTTATACTAATTACAATCCGTATAGTATATCTAATAGGCAGTAGTCTAAATAGCGGTTTTCGGGATTTAACTCTCTTTCTTCATCTCCAAATTCCTTTCCAAATCTAATAAATTTACTTTCGAAAACACTAACATAATAAACGAAATCTTAAAAAAACAATTTTAAAATTACCCTTAGGAGTGTATACAAATGATTTGTTTTTATTATACATTAAAGTGTGTTAGAAAATGAAATTCTAGTGATTTAATGTCGGCTGTGTGAACTGTGAAGATAGCAGGTAGTATAAAATTAAATGGTACTCCGTATATGAGTGGTCTGTTGGTATAATTTGCCCGTTGCGACCATGGGATAATTTGGATTTGTGGCATGACGTACGTATGTATGTATTCTACGGGTCACTATAGTTGCCGACGCGAAAAAATAGGAAATCACTTTTGATTTATTGCGCGTTTGAAGGAAAGCAAGGGAGAGAGAAAGTTCGTTGACTGGTCACGTTCTGGGAAAAACTTTACTGTTGGCGTTGAGATCTCCTTACCTGGTTCAATACAGCAGCTCAAAGGAAAAATCTTTGTAAGATTTTCATTCTTTATGCTGCTTCGATCTGAATCTTTTCTTTCTCAATGTTTATATTTCTCTTCAGGGAAAGCTAGCCTCAACAAATTTTCATTTCTGTTACGATAGCTGTTCCCGAACTTGCTTTAAACAACTTTAGATGGAGCCCGGTGTTGGTAAATAAGGTTAGATTCATTGGAACTGTACGTTGGCGTGTTATGGGGGTTGCTGTAAGTTTTTTTTTTGTACTTTTGTTGGTTGTGGCTTTAATAATTTGAGGATTTCCCTGGGCTTGTGTGTGCATTTGAGCTTGCAGAATTAGGTCTTTGCACCTTTAGTTTGGAGATCCAGTTTTCTGTTCCCCCTACATTAATATACGTTCTGTTACATTTGCCTCTCCTCTATCTAGACATTGAAAATTCATGAATGTGCATTATGCCGGTATGTGTTCATGCATCAAGCAAATCTTTTCAGATTATCAAAATCACAACTAACAAAAATACAAAAAAGAAAAGCTCACAGGAACCCCCAGTGCACATAGATGCCGTGAAATACATAGGTGATTTTGATATGGTCTATTGCATATAGTTCGGGCAACTTGCCTAGATGTAGGGAGGGTTGGGGTAAAAAGATGACATTTCAGATTCCTTAATCCGTTCCAAAAAGAGGGCAACCTTGATAAAAAAGATTCTATTTTTTCATGTAATTTGCCAAAAAATGCCAAAACAAGTAACATATTAAAAAGTTAGCTAAACCAACAGATAAATATTAAATAGGTATGAGTGTGTGATGATTTATGGCAGTTGTATTTTACCCAAATTTCAAAGTTCTACATCGGTCAAATAGTACCAATGTAGAACCTTTTCTGGGTAGTATGACAAACCTTCATTGTCTGATGTTGGTTCCTTTTGCATAGTTCAACCTTCCCGCAGCTCTTATCCTGATGTTAGCTGCTATTACTGAAAAAGATTGTTATATCTTTTTTGGCTAGAGATACCTTTGGGGTGAAAAATAAATACTCCCTTTGTTCCAAAATACTTGTCCCATTAGGGGTTTCTCGTGGTTTAAGATAGTGCTTGTAGGTGTAAGAAAAAGTGGGGGTTTTGGTTAACTTTTATAAAGGTGTACCATAGCTGCTACATGGGTAGGTTTATGCCCAAAAGAAGGTAGTGAGACAAGTAGTTTGGAACAGCTCTAAAAGGAAATTAGGACAAGTATTTTGGAACATGAGTATATTTTTTAACACTTTCTTGAACTGTAGCTCAACATCCATCTTTACTAACAAATTCACTTATATTAATAGTAATGAGTTTTTTCTTAAAATATTACTAATAAAAAATTTATGGACAAAAATGTGACTATAAGTTACTATGCGTATGTTTTATAGTTACTACAATGTAACATTTGAATACAATTGGTCGATTGGAGTCACTAAAGTTACTAGAGTTACATTTTTGTCCATTACTTTGATTTTGATTATATATTTGGAATTACTTCAATTGTTATTACCTTTTTTTCTTAAGCCTGTAATTTTCAGTTTCCAGCTTTGAGTTTTTCATTGTATTAAATATAGCCTGTAGGCCTTTGTTGGAAGATCTTGTCTCATAGTTTCCTATTGATACTCATAGAATATTTATTTTGCAATTTTGTTAAGGTATGTTATATGTACTCTGTTTTAGTAAAACAAAATACCAGTTTAAAATAATTGATTTTTAAAAAAACTAATCCTATGCCTCTTTGCTAGAGCTTATAGCTTGTGTTATTTTATATTTAAGATATAAATTTTATAAAATTAGAAGCTAAAAGTCTGAGCTAATTTCAAACAATATATTCTATAGTGCTGCGTAGTAAATGCCTAATTTTTTTTATATCTTTTTTCAATTAATAAACCTGTCAAAATAGACGCCCTTTCCATTTTCAGTCAAATTACATTTACATTGTGTGTATTTTACTTAGCAACTCAGTAAACATATACATTTACCAAACATTGCGCCTTCACCTCGTCTAAACTAATAGCATTTTACTTTGTTTCTAAACTATTACAGTATTACTCCCTCTGTCCATAATTGTACATCCTATTTGGTTTTTACCCACCAATTAAGGAAGTGAAATTGTTTGGTTGAGATTTATTTAGAACATACCAACTGCACACCTCTTTCTCATTATAAGGAAATTGAAAGAACATTTTGAGGCAGCTAAGTTAGTAAAGTGGGAAGCATATTTAGAGATGTGTACCTTTTCAGTTTTAGCTATTTTTTATTATTTTCATCTGATTTTGATCATCTCATTTCAAGAGGCGCTCCCATTTGTTGGGTTTGGAAATTTTTGGCCAGCAGCTATGTTGCTGGGTCGGGTGAGTTTCTTAGATTAATTTCGGGTCTTCGCTTCCACTTGGCGTTCATCCCCGATTTTTGATGTTTTTTTTCTTGATTGGCTTGATTATTATGGAATCCCCTAAAGAGAAGAAAGAGTAATGCTTATATTGGACAGTCCTTCCACGATGCGCACTCATGTTCCTTGTCAGCCTCTTACAAAATCTTGGGGCATCATTTGCGAGTTTAGAGTGCGGGAGGTTTTAAACTGGTTGAAGCGGTGGGGAGTGAGTGTTGGAGAATAGAGACTTGGTGTCTACTCAAAAGAATTGTGGTCGCATCTTTTTATTTACTTTATTTTGTTTTGATCTCATCTCCATTACTTTTAACAGTAAGGGAGTCAGTTTATTTGTTTTGGTTAGTGTTTTGCTGGTTTGTTTTCCCGGTTGAATTATGTGGCTTGATTAAATAATACTCGGAGTTTACTACATATCTAAGTGGTATTTTTCGGGATTTAGAAATAATTCAGGAATTTTATTATTTATTATCTTGCTCCAGGAAACTCTCGGTTTCTAGCACTCCACCGTCTCACAGATGGGTGATCTGAAATACCATGACGAAGAAGATTGTTGGTCCCTGACCTCTTCGTATCCTTCATAATTTTAGTTTCTTAGGTGCTGCTGTTTTATTACATGCAAGAGAATTAGGTCACATCTTGAAAATCCAGATCATGCCACGTTCTTTGGGCGAAGAGAACATGGCCTTAATATAGTGTTTTAAGTCTCTCCTTGAACCTCTTGCTGATTTGAAACTGTTATTATTCTTAATGTGAATAGTACTGCAGCATCTGTGAGAACCATCAGATCCAAACTTACCGTCCCAGTAGCCCCATCTTTCAGATCAGTTGAACGCTTAGCAAGACGTAAGGAGGTATTTTTAATAATGATGATGATGATAGTTGATGAATATGTTTGTGTCAAAGCTGTTCCTTCCATTTGCTTTTTACTTGTTAAACTAATGTATTTATGGAAGGATGCTTTCTATTTCCTTCTCAGTTTTATGAGAAGTTGGGAGAGAAACACAAAGCTTTGGAAGCAGAGAAACAAGAATGTGCTTCCAGGACCAAGGTACAACACTTCTAGAGCATTTTGGTAAACAGGAAAGTGTCATTTTGGCATTTGAATGTGTTCCGACAGAGTACATAGTACATTAATTTAGTTTATACTATAGCTCATAAAGTACTTTAACTTGTCTCTAACGGAGTAAAGAGTATATAAGTTTACATCGAGCTAGAAAGTGCTCGTACTTGTTTGTGTGGAGTCATTATAGTACCTTTGCCAACTATACATTAGGCATATTGATCTTGAACTAACAGAAACAACGATATAATGTTACACACAAATCTTCAACTTGTGTCTAACGGAGTAAAGAGTACATAAGTTTACGTCGGAGCTAGAATGTACTCCAACTTGCTTTTGTGGAGTCATTATAGTACTATTGCAACTATTCATTAGACACATTGAACAACCATATAATGTTACATACAAATCTTGTAAGCTTTGGTAGTCTGGTGTATGCTAAATTGGTAAGTCTACACGCGAAACAAAGTTGCTGTACCAAAAAAACATTTTATAATAAAATAGAAATAAATTAATATCGTCAAAATCCCTATAATCCAACATCTAACATTTACAATTAAAATAATTAGCTTAATTAACATATTTCAAAAAACAAACAATTAATTTTATAAACATTTTACATCTAATATATTTTTAGCATGTTTCAATTTTTAATTTGTTTAAATGAAAAGTTAACAAATCATTAAATCATCTTTCCTAAGTTGTCCATCTACATTTGTTATTGATGGATGTGTGGAGTGTACTCTTTATTCCGGTGTATGTTCATGTATTCTCATTTTGTAAATGATGTTTGTCTTTAGTTGTCTTGTTTAAAGTGCAGTTTTAATGAACGTTTCCTTGTGTGCCACCTTCTCCTTTAGGTCTTTTTGGAACTTCCAAAATTAAAAACGGACCATTAAGGAGAAAGGTCAAATATAGTGACTAGGGAAAACAAATAAGAAAGAAAAAAAATGTGGGAAAACAAGAGATAACTAAAACTCATTGAATTTTTTTTAGATATGTGTTGTATCTCATTTTATGTATTTATATTGTTGGTCCAAAATAGGACGCTCGTAGGCTTTAGGAAAGCTACGAAAGACACTCAAGCAGAAAAACAGAAAGCAATACGAATATGGAAAGTGCTCCAGACGTTTTAGTTGCCAAGAATAACATATAGAAACCGCCTCCATTAATCTGAATCACAACCCGCCTTTTATAGGCGTATACAAATCGTAACCGTTATCGATACTAATGACTAATTACAACATTAATACAAAATTATTGCTTGATCATTACTTTTCCTAGCTGGCATGTCGGCCGGACTGGCATGCTCCCAGCTGGGGTGTTAGGCAGGCTCCAGGTTGTGGACTTGGATCCACGGGTCCAAGTTCAGGGCTTGAGCCGATTAGGTTCTGGGCCTAGTACCATTACTCCATATATCTAATATAAAGACTAAGAAATCTAAATGTATGTATAATCTAAATAAAGAAAATAAGGGCCCATTTACTTAATTCTCCAATTTTCTGTTTTCATTTTCCAATTTTTGTGGGTATAATCTCAACTTCATGAAGAACATTCTCACAAAATTTTATCAAAAAATTCGAAAGTCGCTCAATAGGGCTTGGCCGTACTAGACACAAATCATTTCTCACTATATTACACTAGTAATAGTACTATTACAAATATTTGGGGGCCCCAAAATTGGTGGGCCCTGTTAGAGATGACACATTGAACCTGTCAAAAAACGATCTTGCATAACATGTTTGAAGACATAAAAATATAAGACTAGTAATATTTTTTTAAAACCACGTGTTTTTTGACTTTTTTCATGATCGATCAGAGTTACTACGAGAAACTTATTTAGTTTGGGAGGAAATATGGTACCTAAAAGTAAGTTGTAAAACGCTAAAAAGGTGAAAATTGATTTTCCTAATTTAATAAATAAAATATATTATTCAACCTACACCATTACATAGATCTCGAGAAAATATGTAGTTTTTTTAATAGAAAAGTAACCCCAATCGGATATCCGAGTGCGAAACAAATACAAGAGGCAATGTAGCGCTGCGTATTTCCATTTAGGAAACACCAAAAAATGAGTTTTGCAAATTAAGAAGTAAATCATAAACATGTCTTTGTTTTAGAAAATAAATAAATAGGTAAACACGTTTTCCAATTTCCTGGTAAACCAAAAAAATATTCCTGTTAGTAAATGGATCCTTACATTTTTCGTTTTTATTTGCACTTCCAAGTTAAAACCAAGCATAAGATAATAGTTTTCCTTAGAATTTGTTTTCCTTCCCGTAGCATTTTACGTGACCAAACATACTCTTAAAGAGTCTCGATGCTGAACCTCTTGCTCTCTGTGATTCATAGGAAGAGGAAGAAGCGGCTATTAAGCAGCTTCGGAAGAACACGGTCTACAAAGCAAATCCAGTCCCAAGCTTTTACAAGGAAGGACCTCCTCCAAAGGCTGAACTTAAGAAGGTTAGCCCTGCTTTAGTATCTGACTAATTATTAAGATATGTTTGCGTCGCAGTATTTGTCGTTCTTCACAAGGAAGTCCCAACCTTTTCTGTCGTTCTGACTAATTATGTTCGATCAGCACAGCACGTCTGGATATGCATATTTGGAGACTAAAACTCCATTTATTACTAGTCATTGACAAAGTATTTCCTATATTACGGCGAAGTGAAGTACTACGTATTTGTTTATACGAGATTCATTATTTTTTGGCTTGAGAATATGATGGAATAAAGCAAAATGGCTCACTAAATTGTCTGCGCTTCTTTGTTATGAAGCAACAGTCAGTCCATGCAATTTTGGACGCGATTTTCACTATGGTCATCCGGAAACAGTCTCTCTATGCTTTAGTACATGGGTAAGACTGCGTACATCCGACCCCCCTTACCCCACCGTAGGTGGGAGCCTTTGCGGCACTGGGGTAAATGAAAATGAAAAATGAAATGAATGATAATGTGACGGTGTTTGGTGATAAAAACTAAAAAGATGACCCCCCCTACCCCACCGTAGGTGGGAGCCTTTGCGGCACTGGGGTAAATGAAATTGAAAAATGAAATGAATGATAATGTGACGGTGATTGGTGATAAAAACTAAAAAGATGAGCGCCCTTCTTTTTTTTCAGCTGCCGGTGACTCGGGCAAAATCACCAAACTTCACGCGAAGAAAAAGTTGTGGCGATATTGTGACACCCAGAGAGGAGAGGAAGGATTCTGGCAGGTCTACCCGCCACAGCACAGGTGCTGCCTATCGAGAACCCAACACAAAACTTTCCACCCCCAATAAGAAGGACCAGATAAGCGCACGGAATATTAATGGCCATAACAGAGTCAAGGCCACCTCCCAGTCAGTGAAGAAAAGTTCAACCAAAGAAAGTAGGGTGAAAGAGACGAATGGAAGTAGTAGGGTGGAGGAAACAAGTGGAACCTCTGGCGATGTGACAGATCAGCCGAGAGAGGATATTGCAGTTCAGTTATGAAACACGGGGCCCTGTTTTATGTTTTATTTTTCTTCTTCTTTTCTTTATAATCAGATCATTCAATCATGTATTCAGAAATTTTCCGGAATTCGATCGGATGGTCACTGTAACTTGCTGATTTGTTTTATGGTCAGAACCAAACCGAAGAACTGATGTCTTAATCTGAGTTGTATATTCGTGTGATATGTACATGTAATCCTTTTGTGACGTGCTTGTGCTGCATGAAAGACAGCCCCGCTCTGACTGTATACTAGTGTTCCCTCCATCCAACTTTTCATGTGCTATTTAGGGCATCAACTGAATGTTTTATTTATTCATAGATGATCCCATTCTGAGTTTCTAAATAATGTCATACCATCATGTTGGAATTTTAATAACAAAAGGATTTTCCTCTTCGAATGATTTTGGATGCCTGCCATTTAGAGTTATTCCCTAAAAAGGACTAAAATAACGTATAAGTGCATGGATAGAACTATTAAGTTTAAGCTTAAATATGTTTTTAGTCCCTACCAATATGACACACTTTGATTTAGATTCTAGATCCCTGCAATATGCACTTTTTTGTTTTTAGTCCACTTCTAATTCTGAAACCACTCCACTTACAATTTACAAAACAAGCTAGTGTCAGATACATAAACCTACTAAAAATATTTAAATTTGTCCTCTTATTTTTTAGGCTAATATGAGAGTTAAAACAATATAAAACTAAGTATTCACATTTTAAAAGTATGTATTAAAAACCTTCTAAAAAATATACTTAAATACTTTTTGAGTAATATGACAAAGAATTAGAGAAAATCTATTAATGATGATCGGGGTTATTTTGAGGTCAAACAAAGGTTGTTATCATCAATGATGGACTAAAAAGAAAACCAACATAAATTGCAGTGTCGAAAAACAAAAACAAAAAAATTGCAGTGATGTAAAACAAAATGTACTATATTTGCAGGGACTAAAAACATATTTAAACCTTAACTTTATATGATTAAAAATATGAGGTGGACAATGCAATGTGTTTACTACTCCATTTGAATACAAATTAACAAGGTTTGCATGGCTATATTTTAATTTGAAGGGGGGGGGGGGGTCTGAACTTTCATGAACATGAAAGTGTAAAATTTCTAAAGATTACCTGACGGTAGGGCGGTATACGAATCAAATAATTTGTACTCGGTTCGGATCCGAATTTGTATAAGACGATTCGAATTCGAAAAATTCAAATACAAATAAGAATACTAAATTTGATTCAAATTATTATAAAATACATATATCATTATATTCGATTCGAATGTTAATCAAATATATTCGATTAATAATAGTGATAATAGTAATAGTAATAGTAATAGTAATAATAATAATAATAATAGTAATAACACTATAATAACTTTTAAAAAATAGCTATACACTTAAAGTGTAGCCCATATATATACATTTACGTATAGACATTCCAAGCCAATTTGTAATAAATTTGAAGTATCAATAAGGAGTAAGGGTTGTAATCGAAATAAATAATTTTAATTCGATTTGTGATTTGGATTCATAAGTTATGATTTAAATATGAAAATATATAGAATATAAATACGAATACAAATAAGATTTTGGGTTCAAACATCTTTCAAATATGAGTACAAATAATTATGTATTTGATTCGAATAATAATGAAATATATATTCATTTATACATAAACAAAATCAACTATATACAATGTCCGTGTGCATCAACTACCCACTATATGTGTGTGTAGTATGAACTATATATTTAATCGTGTTTTTATTATCAATAATGCTAAATATCAAACATAAAATTAGAGTCGTTTGACTTTGATATATACAATTAGCAACTCACTTCACACATTATATGTGTTTATTACTCCGTAAAATTGATTCACTTTAGTATATTGTGCACAATCTAAAAATGCATTTATCTATTCAAATTTTTTAAGTCATAGCATGCACTTATAACATAAGAAATATAGGAAAAGTTGTTATAAAGTGATATTTGACAAATACTGCATATTTAACTTATGATCAAATCGATTCGATATTCGTATATGATTCGGTAACTATGCGTATTGTTAAACAAATACAAATCGAAAATAATATTCGTTTCATATTTGAATTCGAATTCGAAAAAATTAAACAAATGCAAATACAAAATCACACTATTCGACTCGATTTGGTTCGTTTAACCCATTCGAATTCTTATATGTGTTGGTTTTTCTCTTTTTTCTTTTCCATGAAAGAAAGGAGGAGGAGGGGGGAGGAGGGGGAGGGGGAGGGGGGAGGCGGAGGGGGAGGGGGAGGGGGAGGTCGGGGGAGGAAGAGGAGCAGAAGAAGAAGAAGAAGAAGAAGAAGAAGAAGAGTCTTTGGCGGCGAACAGGCGGCGATGAATAGGTGGTGGCGGTGAGGAATCGACGGCCGCGATGAGGTATAGGCGGCGGCATGATATGGGAGATGGAAGATGCACAAAGAACAAACGTAAAAGTGTGATGATTAGGGTTTTGTTAATTATTTATATGAGGGGTATTTATGTCTGTTTGCATTAAATAAGTCTCTTTTTTGGTCACATTAAAAAATGATCCCATTGTTGTCATATACAAACCCGGAAGTCTATACTCTGATTCATTTTAGATTTTTAAATATTTGACATGTCATTCCATTCCATGTAGTATCACAAAAAAATATTCTGAGCATTTTTGAACTTTCACCATTGTTATTTAACTTCCGTCCCATTTTGGTTTTATTGTTTTTCTTTTTGTATTGTTTCAAAATGAATGTCCTATTTATTCTTTTAGCAAAAATATGGTTCATATTATTTCACTTTATTTTACTTATATACCCCAATCCAACTTTTACTTTTCACCATCTTAATTAATAATTGTTTCAAAAAAAAAAGACATCATGGGATGAAAGTAGTATTATTTATCACTTATGATGTTTTTACTTAGACTCTTTTCAGTTCAGACTTCAGACTAGACTAGACCAAATTAAATTGATCAAATTAGACTTGAATAATTGTAAAATATTCCGACTTCACATATCTTTTAAATCAAATTGGACTCAAATAGACACAATGCATAACCAGAAAATTTACTCCGTAAACAGCCAAAACCCTTGAGTGACTTCAAACTCTCGCATGAATTAAGTTTGGATGCTCTTTTGCCTTGCTGGCTTGCTCCTTACTCCCATCACCTGAAGCAAATATTTTCTTCGTTCTTTTAACTTGGCTCGTCTTTTCGCATTATTTTGACCCCAAATTGCAGTCCTGCTCCCAGCAGTGTAAATTTAATCTGGTCCCCTCCTTCTTGCCTCAGTTGCTGGCTGCGGAGCAGTCCTGTAAGTATCTTCATACGTCTTCTATGCTAGCCATACAACTTCGGCTATATATTCGCACTTCTTTGATCTGTGCTAGGTAGCCGCTTAGTGAATCGAATCTTGATGCTTTTTCTTTGTGTTGTTTTGTAGCGTTAGAATTACATTATGAAATTCAGCATATCTTGTTTTTGTCTTTATCAATTACTGATTGTTTAATTGCTCACTATGAATCCATTCTGTGAGGGCTTTTGCAATTAAAAAATAATTTTTTAGGTTCCATATCTGTCTTTGCTCTGATAAAAACCAGCATTTATTGTGTATCTTATTTTCTCATACAATGCATATACAATTATAACTCGTGCTGATATGCCTTCAATTCTTCATTCATATGTTGCTTTTGATGTGTAATGTTGTTATTTTCTCTTTGATATGTATTATGTAAGTACACGTTTGGTAGGAATAAGTTCTTAGCTTCTAGCTTTTATATTTATTTAAAAAGTCTCTATAAGCTTCTATTTGTATATTTGACCTAAAGAGCTTTTGAAAAAATAAAAGGTCGTTTTTGAGAAACTGCAATGAGTAGCTTCTTCAATAAAGTCTGTATCTTTTAGCATTAATTAATCACAATAGCTTGTTATACCAAACAGAAATAAATCAAACAATAAGCTTTTTATCAAACAACTAGAACCTTTTTCTTTTAAGATCTTTTCGGTCACTAAAAGTTACTACCTCCGTCCCCTAAGTTAAGATCTTTGTGATGCGGTTTTTAAGAAAAAGTAGAATTGTGTGGTTGGTATTGAATTGATAGTGTAAATAAAGTAGAAATGAATTCTAACCACTCAAATATTACCAAATATGGTATGAGACAAACTTAATGGGACAGACGAAAAAGGTAAAACGGGACAAAGTTTGGGGGACGTAGGGAGTAACATTTAGTCATTTACTAAAAAGATTACAAGAGTATCTTTTTAGCTAGTTGTGCCAAACATACCCTAGGTCCTCTGGTTATCTTCTAATTATGGTGGAATTTATAGGTCGGATTTAGATAGGCTATTCAATATCTGATTTACTTTTAGGAATATAACTTGAACATTGTTGTCTTCTCATTATTGTGGAACATTTAGTGAGGTCGGGATAGCTACATAATCGGTAATATCCTTCATCTACTTTGCCTGATTTGTTACTTACTTTAAAGCTGCGTTCTTGTGTTTATGATTTCCAATCTTTGCATATCAATATTCCCTCCAAAGACCAAAGTAAGGTTTTTCGTTTGGGTCGAAATGCTTATTACAACAACAACATACAAGACTTAATCCCAAAAGATTTTGAGGTCGGCTAACATGAATCAATACATGATATCGGAACCAAAAAGGAAAAAGAAAGATAAGAAAGGTAAAATGATATGCTATGATACAAAAGACAATATAATAAGAGATAAGATGCACATAAAAATAATAGAAAAAGGATAAAAAGAATATATATGTGTGTGTGTGTAATTTAAAGATAAAAGGGTAAAAAACAAAACTATAAGAAAGAAAAAAGAAGATGAGGTAAAAAATGACAAGAGATCACTCTGCCGCACGAATCCCCGCTCTCCACTTTGCTCTTTCCAAAGTCATACCCTTACCAGACCAAGAAGAAGCATATCACTCATGACTCCTCTAATCCACGTCTTTTTGGGTCTTCCTCTCCTTCTCTTCCCTGCTCTTCTCCACACCTCTCAACTCGTCTGACAGGTGCATCAAACCACCGCAAGCGAGACTCCCGCATCTTATCTTCAATAAGTGCTACTCCAACCTTTTGTCATATTGTCTCATCCCTCAAGCGGTCTTTTATAGTATGTGCACACATCCGACACAACATGCACATCTCTGTCACACTATCTTTTGAATGTGACATTGTTTCACGGTTTCACCGCCCTACACTCTACGCCCTACAGTAATGAAGGCCTAATTGTTTTCCTATAAAATTTACCCTTCACTCTAGTCGGCATACCTCGATCGCATATAAATTCCAACGCACTCTTTGTTAGGAGTAATAGATAAACTCTACACGTGTATTTTCCTTTATAATATAGTGTAATTAT